TTCGAGACAAAACGCAAAGTGAACCGATCGTTCATCGTCGTCATCCGTTGTCTTGCAGATGAACTATGTTGTATATTTTGAAAAAGGCTCATTTCGGACCAAGGGGCTACGTATTCCACGCCGCGTCGATCGGTTGGCGCTACCGCGACAGCATCATGGCCTGGAGCATCTTTTGTTGTTGCAGCACGATCGACTGGAGTCCGTTGATTTGCTGCTGCAAATTCTCCACATGACCCGTCAAATTTTTCTGTGACGGCTGCGTCGACGGCGTGATGGGTACGTTGACAAGCTTGACAGCGTCCAAATGCGCATTGTAACATGTAGACAGCGATTTCGCGAGCGATTCGTACGGCATGGTCGGCGTCGGCTTTGGCGCACACGGCACCGAACCCTGTCCGCAGTAGTAGACCCGCGCCATGTTGGGCTTGCTCCCGGTTTCGATCGCAATCCTAATGCAATAGTTTAATCCTTTAAATATGCAAAAACGACACAGTGTCGCATCACGCACCAAGTGCTTTCGTGGAGGACGTAGGCGTCGGGGTCGTACGGATACTTTTCATCATGGGCGATCGTCGCCGAGCAAATGACCACGCGGTTCGGCTCGATAAACCGCTTTTGCACGACGTGGCAGTGGATCTCGACGCCAGGTGTCTCCATGATGAGGCGGCCGTACGACAAGTTGGCATCCCACTCTTCCAGCACCTACAAATTGTCGTTTCTAGTACAATCCGAGTTTGAACCAGATCAATAATGTACCACAAATGACGTGTCCTTGACTTCAATCGGCACCAGATTGTTGTAGTATTTCCAGATGGCCAGTGCGCACTGGTCGACGGTCAAGTTGTGCATCTGCGCCATGGTGCAGTCGACGCGGATCGCGTGTGCGCTCTCATCGTACGTAATGCTCGTGTTTTGCACCCGGGACGTCGCGTGATGAATCTTGGAGGCGAGCACAATGCTCTCGAGGCGGCCGTACTCGGCGTGGACCAGCGCTTCGGCGGTCGCGCGCCGCAGCGACGATGGCGCGTCCAGAAGCCGCGGCGCCAAGATGGGCATGTCGACCAACTGTGGCCGTGCCAAGACGGTTTGCAGCGACTCGAGGAGCCGGGCTTGGGACGCGACCGCCCGGGTGAGCTGCGCGTGCTCTTGCTCGACCGCGAAGCGCGCCGCCGCTTGGCGCCGGGATGTGGCCTCCCATGGCGACTGCGTCGCGCGTTGCTTGCGTGCCTGGAGCGCGTCGCGCTGTGCCACGAGGTCCGCGACCGTCGATCGAAGCGCCGCAATGTGATGCGCCTCGCGCTTCCGCGGGCGCTTGGCCGGTGGCTGCGCATGGCTCTCGTCGTCGTCGCCGGTGCTTTCACTGCTGCCAAAGGTCGGGCACAGCACAAAGTCGCAGAGGAGGTCCATGCAGGCTGCGTCGTCGAGCTCCATCATCGTGTACGTTCGCTGTCTACTACCGTGGAACTGGACCTTCCGTTGTGATTGGCCGGCTGAAAACACGCAAGTTAAGAATGATGGTCGATGCGACACCACCCAGCGGCTCTTCAGAAGACAAGGACTAGGGTATTGTGTGATCATTGACAATGCTGAGCTTACTCGGTTATTACATTTATATCTACTTAAGTCGAGTACATTAATGGTGTCTTGGTAGCAGTCTTTGGCGCGTGCGAGTGTGGCAGTTGAGCCATCCATGCAGCCATTGACGGCGCGCCCCAAGGTGGAGCAGCTGTGCCAGCCAGTGCGAGCCGTCATCGGTGGGTGGTATCAGAATGGTCAGAATGGTGCCATTAACAAAGTACTTATTCGTCGGAGCGTTCTCGATGCTTCGCAAAGGGCGCTGGTGGTCGCCGGTTTTCGCTGAAATGGGTTGCAACCGGCTCACTTAACCGGTTCGCCATCGTAGAGGACCATTCGCTGTTGCTGGACATTCACAACACGGACATTTGCTCTTCGTCCCTTCTGAAGGCCGAGTCTTTGCCTCATCTTGCTGTCGACGCGCGGAGCCCACGAGGGCAATAATTGGCATGTCGACAATTTTCGACAATTCTATTGTTGCCATTGGAAATTGGGTATTGTTGCCGACGGTATCCAGCTCACGCGTCCTCCACCTTGGCCCCCAAGCCAGCGGAACAGACCATTGTGTGACTCGACAATTTACATTTTGCATCATTACTCCATCAACTAGTGTTATTAACGTCTCGACACGTCCAACGTTTGTGCGACGAGCGCCTGCAACGCAGCGACTTGGGTTTGCAGCGAGCGCACACTCTCGGTCAGCGCATCGATTCTTGCCGCTTGCGCTTTGATGGCTTCGACAGCGAGCGGGACGATGCGCGCGTAGGCCACGTACTTGAACCCGTTGGCGTCGGTCGTGACCACGTCGGGCAGCACGGCTTCGACTTCTTGCGCAATAAAGCCAATCTCTCGGCGGGTTGAAAAGTGCTTTTGCGGAAAGGCCTCCGTCCTGTAGTCGTAGCTGACGCCTCGCAGTTGCTGCAGACGCGGCAACGCGTCGAGTAAATTCGACACGTTTCGTTTGAAGCGCTCATCCGACGAGTCGACGTACGAGCCCGACCCCATGACTTGGCCGTCGACGGTGAGCCAACCGCCGACAAACGCATTCGACTCGACATACATCTCCCCCGCCACCTCGAGCGTGAGCGCACTCAAGTTGATCCCTACACGTAATTTTCACGTTTTTGCAACTTGATAGATTGATACGATACCACGGAGGTGCCCGCCAATGATGTCGACGCCTCGCAGCTCCGAGTTGGACATGTCGATCTTGCCGACGAGCGCGTGGACCTTGAGCTGATGCGTACTTAGCGTCTGGGACGCGCTGTCGTAGCTCAGTGCCGGTTCGCCGCTAAGGACGCCGCCCTTGCCATAATACGCAACGTGACTCGCAGTCTGCCCGGCGACCTACAATCGGTCCTCGGTTCGATCCTCGCTGCGTCAAGAAATATATATATATAATCGACCTGGATGGCCTTGGCCGAGAGCATGTGGTTGCCAATGTTGAGGTCGGCCGCGGCCGAGAACTCCTTGACGTTCATGAGCTGCGTCGTGTCAAACTCGGTAGCTGTCAGCGTCTGCCAGGCTTGCCCGTCAAACACAAACAGCGCCGACGACTGCGGCGGGATCTTGAGCGACGAGAGCGCGTCTTCGTCAGCATTTTGCACTACGAGCAGCTGCCCGTACGCGGCGCCGTCGATCGATAGCGTCTGCGTGCTACTGCTATGCGACACGCCGTCCGAGAGGACTTGGACGTAGCTGTGGGTACACGGGATCGCGAGGTGCTTGGCTGCAACGAGTCGTATCGGCCGAAGCAGCGCTTGTGTCTCGGCAATCAATGGGCCACTGGCGACGACCGCACCGCCCGCGCGGAGACTGCCAGAGGTCGTGAGATTGCCATGTCCATCGATCGCAACAACAGTGCCCGCCGACGTGGTGGCCTGTATGAGCCGAAACCCCGCGGATGCCTTCAAGTCGACCTAGCAGGTATCATATACGACTGCATCTGGTATACACCGGTGTACCGCCGAGGCATCCACATGCAAGACGCTCGATGCAAAGTGCGCATGTCCCGCTTTCGCCACGAGGCTTGGCCTACAACGCCATGTATCACGAGTGTGCCCCGGGGTAGACAACACGGCGTACGTGGCACTCTCTGAGCCATTGACGACGAGCCCGCCCTGGAACGAGAGTGAGCTGTCAAATTGTACATGGCCCTTGGCGACGTGGAGGCCGCCGGACGCAATGTGCAGCCCACCCGCGTGGATCACTTGGCCACCGGCATGGACGGCGACGCCACCGCTCTCAACGTGGAGGCCGTGCAGCGTCGTCATACCGGTCGCTGCAATCTCAAACACCCGCTTCTCATCGTTGGCGCAGGTGAGGTACGCAGCGCGATGGCTGCTGCTTGGCTGCTCGAGCCGTAGCTGGCTCTCGCTACTGACGCCAGTCAGATGCAGGACATGGCGCGAGGCCGCATCGCCCGATATAACAGCGCCGCCGACGATCCCAGCACCGCCGTGGGCCACACGGAGTCCGTTGGTTGCAATCTCAAGCCCGGCGCGGATGGTCGCTGCACCGCCTATCGCGACGTGGCCGTCGAGCGCCGTGTCCTTGGCCACTCGGAGTGTCTCGTGAACATTGACCGCCTTAGTCTCAAGGCGTCCGATGGCGTCCAGCGAGAGGAGCGAGGCGTCGTTGAGGGCGACGCGGAAGAGCGGACCGATCTCGTCGATGACGCACGTCTCGGCTTCCATTCTGGCGTCGATGGCGAGGACGGGTGACGCGCCGCCGTCCCCACGTAGGGTTTTCTGAAGACGGACGTGGCCGTCCTGTACGTGGAAATTGGCGCGGTGCACACTCACGTCGCCGTGCACCTAATATCAAAAAGTATCAACGTTTCAAGTTGATAGTTTAAAAACAGGACGGAAAATACCTCGATCCGAGACGCACGGAGGGCCTCGACCACCAAGGAGCCTTGGTGCAGCGTCGTGTCGCCGCGCCCGTCCATCGTAAAGATCGGCGCGCCCGCCACATCCACGTGGATCAAGTTGAACGCGGCATCCGGGCTTCTTGATGCGGATAATTTGAGCAAATTACCGGAAAAGAATGGACCGGGCGCCAAACCCAGCAGCATATCGGCCGCATCTTCGTTGTGCCCGCAGTGGACACCGTAAAAGCCCGATTCGCACGCACAGAGACCGGACCGGGCATTGCACTTGCCGTGGTTGGCACACGGCACGTAGCCTAGGAGGTCAAAAATGGAGATAATTCGGGTGTAGACCAGTGACGTACCTTTGACGTTGGCATCGGCGAGGCTTGTAAAAGCACACGCAAGGGCTTTGACACCGCCGGTCTCGCAGCCAAAGTCGGTGGCCGGCGGATTGCCGTCATGAAAGTACAGGTTGTTCATGATTGGGTAGATCGGGAACGAATGCAGCGTTATGTCGAGCTGCAAGAGGACGTCCGAGGCAGCGAGTGTCGGTGACCGCACGCAGCTCTACGCATATGGTTCGTCATCTGTTGCAGCACACGATCGAGAGCGTACGACGGCGCCGAGGTTGTGGAAGCGCTGAAAAACCTTGGTGCAGCGCTCGCTCGAGACGGCTGTATCGACCTCCATCTCGACCGTGTGCCCGTGGAACGTGAGGAAGAGCCGGCCCGCGGCAGCCAACGTGTCCTCGTTCGGGCCACGGACTTGCAGCCGGACCTTCTTCTCTTGCTTGGTCGCGCTCGTCGCCGGGTCGACGCCGTGCGGACACATCTCTAGCCACAGCCGCAATGAGCCACAATGAATACGGCGAGTCGATGCCACGCACTTTGGCTGCAGTCGGCGCCCGTATAGCCCCATTGGCAGTTGCAGACGTATTCGCCCATGCGGCTGATCATGCAAGAGCCGTGGAGGCTGCATGGGTTCTCGCCGCCGGGGCATGTCCTCTTCTTCTGCGCCAGGACGACGGCAACGCAGGCTAGCAGCATTGTCGTCCACGTCTTCATCCTGGCCCGCGTCTTCTCGTCGACTGCCCAAGATATTTCGAAGCTGAAAGATTCGAATCCGGATACAGGCTCCGGAAAATATCGAAGCCAGAGGATTGCGCTGGCACAAGCGAAGTTGTCAGCCTCTCGACCGAAGACATTATTGTGCAATTTTGAAGTGCTCGTTATAAGCAGTTTTCTTCTGGGGGTCGATTGGTGGGGACAGCGTTGGCTCTGGTGTACAGGAAATGGAGAGCTGAGCTACACGACCGCAAGTCCCGTTCACAGCAATGTCGTGGAGTATCAATTTGCCTAGTAGCTACCATCAAAAGCATACGTAACGCAAACCATAGCAAGAAGATTTGCACCGCTCGTTTCGTGCTTGATGCAAGCGCACTCCATTTTAGCGTACTGCGCTTGGCGCCGGACCCAGCTGCGCAGCGTGCACTCGCTACGCCCGTGGAGCGAAGAGTTTTTGATGTTCGGTCAACAAGTCTAGGAGTGTGGTTTAGAATAAAGAGGTCAAGCGTAGTAGGTAGGCTTCACAAGGGAGGAGTGCTGGGCCCTCGGAAACCAGTCCAATAGTCAGTGGCAAGCCAACTGGACTAGCGGAAGTTGTAAAAATGAATGTGAAAAAAAACCACACCGAAGTGTGGAAATCAGTTTTCACACTGATTAGAACAGATACTACACTTGATCTTAGCCAAAAGGCCGAGAAGGTATGATCGATCTATACCGTCATGTTGCATACCTGGGTTGGCACTTGGATGGAATCGGTGTTTGAAAAGGTGCCGGATCGCTACAAGCTTCTAGATTCGAGCTTGACAGTTCGACAAAGAGACACGATCCAGCGACGCAATTTGGCGTCGA